ATCACCAAAAAGTTGCATATCAGAAATTGTAATTAAGTTTTAAGTTTATAATTTTAACTTTTACACCTGAAGATGGTTTATATAGAAACCGAAACATTTTGTAAAAAGATGTTCCAATTGTAAATCGATTGTTCGATGAGGAACATAAAATGATATTTTAATTATCTTAATTGTAAATTTAAATATGAATTGTGATTAGACGGACAAAAACCGAATAATTAATTAAATTTCACAATATGATGCAACTATATCACATTATTTTACACATACAATATATTTTAATGTTTGTTAGGGTTTTTGTTAGCGGCGTCTGGTTGTGATTATTAAAAAATATAGCTCAAAATGTAAAAACATTCTATAATATAAACATCGCTGTCTTCTCGGATGTAGCTCCGTGCAAATTGACGGATACTGGCCGACTTTTCAGAGGTTTTTACTGCCTCCATCATCGGGTTATGAAATTTTACAGTGTATAATAAAACATCAGATTACAGATAGTTGCTACTTTATTCATAATTGTTACGTTCTGTAGATATTGGTGATTATTACAAGGGGGTGGTTAATTTTTCAATATCGAAGACGAGAAATGCAATTTTTGTCATGATTTTGATAAGCAGTTTGAAGTACTGACTATTTCAGTGTATGTAAGTAAATTACTTTAATACGCACAGCGATGACTCACTTAAAATAAATGTCTGATAATTGTACTTTCAATCGAAGATCATGAACTCGAAATAATTCAGTAATGTTTTTTAATAAAATAAAAGTTTGTGTAACTTTTAAATATAATCGCTGACTCCATTGAAGAATCAGAATAATAGTCTATAAAAATATTTTGCGTAAGGAAGAAGGGAATTTGTATTGCAATGTATTTGATAACCTTATATCTCGTGCAATATTTCCTTATCCCAGAACTCAAAGAAAACTCAAACATAATTTAAAGCAACTTTGAACTTGAGATTAAATTCCACTTTTATCACCAACCCACGTTACGTGATTATATTTATCAGTACTTATGTCTAGACATTATGTTTATATTATTTATAACAGACCCATCTTAGAATTAGGTCCATACATATATATCTTAAACTTAAATAATTATCAGAAAGTTTCGATATTTTGCTGTTGAAATTAATAATGTAGTAACAAGTTACGAAACTCAGAATCTTAGTATTCGGTCATTTTTAACCAGCAGCGATGAAGAATCGATTATAACTCTTTCAGTTGTAGAAAAGCAAATAATTATTATAAGGTAATATAGAATTAATATCACGGAATATACGATATATTCATGTATTGTCACGAGAATGCAAGTGAAAAATAATAATATAAGGGCAGTTAATAAAATTTTCGAAAATATTGCAGAGTTGAAACTTTTCTGAACTTCAGCATCATAATTAATACAATAATCATAAGAAATATGAGCATATTAAATTTTGTAACTGTTTGTTATCAGTCAGTTCAAAATCTTTTAACGCCCCGTTACAATCTGAAAATGTGAAGATAAAATATATGAAATCAAATTTCTTGAGTTTTTTTGTATCGGTGTAAAAATTTATTTCTTACACAGAACGACGAACGTTGATTGAATATGTTTAAAACAGGGTTCTGAGAAGAATATTCGAACTCCTGAGAGTGAGATTACAGGATACTGGAGAATATTACGTAATGAGGAGCTTCATAATTTTTATTCATTACCAAATATTTTTAGTTTAAAAATTTCACTCTGTTGCCTATTTAAGCTAACAATAATGATTTAAATAATCGTCTTATTTAACTTATATTTTGCTATATACTGCATACCTTGACCTGATCATATCGTCTAAAAGTGTGGAGATTTAAGTCCAGAAATAGAACAAAATTTATACTAACCACATCTCTCCAATTATATAGAAATCATATTCTTAAGTTTTAATGAAAATTCACTAGTAATAATTAATATATAAACAATAGAATTACTCACTCTGTGCAGCCCAGTAGCTACCATTAATCTGGTCCAGGTAGATTTGAAAATGTTTTGAGCACAATGTATTGTTAGCAGTCACGAAAAAGGAAGGCCTGCTGTCTTGAAAAGATATAATATTTAAATTTGATAATACATCCTTCCATTGCTGGTTATTTAATAATTCTGCAGGCACAGAATTCCTCAGCAGAGATGCTAGTATTAACACTTGTACAAATTTCAGCCACATAACTTCAAATTAGAATCTGTGTGACCTTTTACAACACAGCCGAATCAGCTTGAATTTCAAACTGATGTTTCTTTTAGCAGTACGTCATCTTGCAATGTGTTATTTTTGTCAGTTTCTGTACAAGCGTTCCTCACATACGTCGTTACCACACAGAATAATTTAAGTTTGCTTAGATAAATGCCTTTTTCGTGAGATTTGTGATGTTCAATTTATACGTAGCTAACAAAGTAGTGCAATGAACTCATCATATGCTATCTAATCTCTTAGTTTTTACAAAATATCTTTATGAAATCTATGTAATCTCTGGTTGCTCGAGTTGCGAAATTTTTTTCTTATTGTGTTAAGAACGGACTTATTTTAGGAGCCCAAATCTGCTTCAGTTAAAGAATGTAGTCAGCATTTTATTAATGATACTTTTTCGTAATAAAAAATTTAGGTAACTAATGTGAATTTTATAAATCTAATTCTGCAGGTACAGAATTCCTCAGCAGAGGTACTAGTATTAACACTTGTACAAATTTCAACCACATAACTTCAAATTATAATCTGTGTGACCTTTTACAACACAGCCGAATCAGCTTGAATTTCAAACTGATGTTTCTTTTAGCAGTACGTCATCTTGCAATGTGTTATTTTTGTCAGTTTCTGTACAAGCGTTCGTCACATACGTCGTTACCACACAGAATAATTTAAGTTTGCTTAGATAAATGCCTCTTTCGTGAGATTTATGATGGTCAATTTACACGTAGCTAACAAAGTAGTGCAATGAACTCATCATATGCTATCTAATCTCTTAGTTTTTACAAAATATCTTTATGAAATCTATGTAATCTCTGGTTGCTCGAGTTGCGAAAACTTTGTTCTTATTGTGTTAAGAACGGACTTATTTTAGGAGCCCAAATCTGCTTCAGTTAAAGAATGTAGTCAGCATTTTATTAATGATACTTTTTCGTAATAAAAAATTTAGGTAACTAATGTGAATTTTATAAAAAAATTTTTTCAACCCAATCTAAAAATTAAAAATAATTCTTCCTTAGTTGGTTTCGTTGTTCCCACCACGAAAATCTGTAATGAAATATTCAAGAATAAGACAAGTAATATCTGTTTAATTCTCACGACAATGTGAGTTCTACGTCATTTATTTATACATACAAAAAATGCACTTTCTCTTCTAATATTACTTCTCAGGGCTGTCCATCAGTTCCTTTAAGGTTTATTAATGAAGAACGTGAATGGTTTTCGACTTTTCAGAAATGTCTACCACACAATTGTAACTTAATAACAAGCCTTTGGCATGTAGTGGGATTCCAGCATTGATACTACTGATAAATTCGACAAATACATGTCTTAATAATCTTAATCTTATCATAGGCATGATTATTACATAGGCATCGTTGAATATCATAGCAAAAAAACATCCCTAAAGACAATGGAAGTAGTGGATACGCAATCTATAATTATTTCTACTTCTTTAAATTGTCCAGTCATTCTTGACACTTTAATTTAAAGGTAGTTTATATTATATATAAAGTTTATTAAAGACACGTAATTTAAAAAAGTAAACAGACGCTTTGTTATAGTATAGTTTATTTTAATAAATTTTTTTCAATGTATATTTCGATTAAGAGATAAAATATTCAAAACTTTTTACAAAATACTCATAAATAAGATTTCTTACTGTGTAAATATGCCGTCTTGTGCCAGCGTATAGAACAGGGTCATTCCTTCGAGAAATCCAATTAGAAGTGTCCTTGAGTGAGACCAAGCCAAGATGTGAAGTATCTCTTCAGAGATCGGTATGTTACATTTGACACTCGACATCTTCCCTATTTAGGTATTGTACCACAGAATCTTCATCTGTTTCGTCTAGTTTGATTTCGGTAAAATTACTGTTTCCGTCTTCTGAAGCTTTCGACTGTTCCATGGATTTGTTTATGTGTGCGTCTTCATTGCTTTTTCGTGGTTCTGCGGGGTCTTCTTCTGTCTTATTCTCTCTGTTTTTTCTATCTATGGAAATACATAATAATGCACAAATTTCAAAAAAAAAAATACTTGTTACAAAACCATAATTTATTACGATAAGAATCAAGAATTAATATTTAAATTTTCTGGACCTCCAAATGCATACTATGAATATCGATGTAAGGGAAATATTACAGGTTTAAAACATTGTGAAAGGCGTACGTAATTGTATAGAAACAAAGCAGATAAATAAATAGCAATGTTAACACTCTACTACAAATCCACTGACAACGGAAACAATGATTGTCCCGAGAAACAGCTGGAAAAATCAGTTCTTTGATAAGCGTTTAATGAAACAGGTTCTATAAACAGTTCAAGAAGAATATTATGTGAACTCAATGGTAGATTGTTAAAGACCCAATTTGGATATTAGTCAATATGAATTATGTTTATACAACTCACCTGTTCTGAAAAGAAACTTTTCAAGGTTTATCGCTGGTGATTCAATGCATAAAGAGAGTACAACGGCCATTATCAGCGATATTATTACGTCTCCAAAGAAAGCTGGCCACTGAAATACAAGAATAAACAAAGGAGTAACAGCACAGTGAACATAAGACCAGTCTCGTGTTGCTTTTTATTTGCAAGTGCAAATTTTTCCTAAGTATTATACTGATTGACAACAGTTGTTGTTTTAAGATAATGCAATAAATTACAATAACACTCGTATCAGATTTGAGGTTTTCAAGGTTATAGGAGACAGAGGAACATACTGCCGCCATCTCCAGTATTATAAAGTGGCTTTTTATATATATTTCGGAGAGTAATCAGACCACATGGCGTATTAACCCTGAAATCCACCACAGATTTTTTTATATTATTTTAAAGCATGTTTGTTGGAAGTCTTGAATCTCACATTTAATTCTGCTTTAGACATCGCTGTACACTTTCCCGGCCTGTGCAAGTGAAATTGTTACCTCAGTAATATCTGCGAAGTAGATGGCAGTTCTCGCCGTAAACGTCTGCACGATCTGATAGCTGCCGTGAGTCAGGTAAACGCAGTATGACAGACGACTCAGAGTGGGAAATATCTTCCAGGACAGGAGCTTGTTCACGGCACCTGCAGTCACAATCTTCATAAAGTATGTTTACTGTCAGCTGGTGTCTATCTGCAGGGTAGACACTATGGACGCTTATTAACGTTCGCCACTCGACAAATAATTACATGAGAGAATAATATTAAAATTTGGGAAATTTTATTGAGATCTAAAATGAATTTTTTTGCTGAGATTAAGAAGCCAATTAAATCTATCATTAGCAAAGCCACATGAGTACACATAAGTCAATTCCGATAGAACAAAAAAAATACGAACAACATATTACTTACTTTAAGCTTGAGTTGTTTTTCCAAATAATAATTCGAAACTATATCATTTTTATATAGTTATAGTTAATTAACATATTTTTGAGTTTAAAATTAAAATGTAATGTTATTTTTGGACCAACGTTTCGGGGAGAAATATTTACTCTGTCTTCAGGTTTGAATTTCACATTTTCACTTTCATGAAAACATCTGATGTCGTGCGGGTATGGTACTTTACCTCCGTAACCGGTTACACACATGAAGATGGTCACGCCAACACCGAAAGCCCAGACGTTTCGGAACAGACCGTTGTAGAACGCAGAGTCCAAGACAGTTTTATCTGCGTCGGGTTGGTAGAAAGAGTGAACTCCGTTAAGGGATCCCAGCATCGCAACATTGCTGAAAATCCACATCGCAGCTATCTGAATCTGTGACGAAAGGAAAAGATGATGCAGTGTAAAATTCTGCAGGGATTTAAGGTTTCTACTGCGGTAAAGATAACAATGTTGGTATTCTAGGTTTTAACGTCATGTGGGCTTTTAGGTAGATACCAGCGTTAGGGAGGAACATACAGCCTTTACCTTCGGTCCTAAAGATGGACAGAGAATTTTTTTTTCAAAAATATTGCTAATCGAACAGCAGAAATTAAACCCGATATTTAAAAAAATCAAAAGTAGTGTCAAATATCTCATTGATGATTCATTTTGTCAAAGAAAATTATAAGGTAGTATATGAATCTCTCTCCAGTAGCAAACCTAATTTAGTGACATTTCAATAAATTGGCATGGCGTTTCGATAAAATGTCCTCATTTGTAACATTCTAACTCGCGATTCGATAGTCGATAAGAAGGGGGAATGTGGTCCAAGGTCTGCTAGAATTAATTGAGAACCCCCTGTGCTGAACTCTTAACCCAGGGGTTAAAGCCCTCTCGGCTTCCCCTTAGTATGGGGGTTCAAATCCCTTATTTCCATGTAATAAGGGATGTCGATAATTGATGAAAAAGTTACTTGTTCATCAGTTCACGGTGTTAAGTTTGTTGGTAGTCACTTATCGTGGCAAAGATTTATCTCAAAATAATGATACACGTCAGTTAATAATAAGGGATATAGTAAAATTATGATGATATTACCCTTGATAATTGTAGCTTTTTTCTTAGAGCTTCGTATATTAAGTATCCAAATGCTACTCCAATGACCCAAGGTCCAAAACGCGAATGCGTTCCAATATACACCTCATGTTCTCCCATTACGTTGTCCTCGCTACAAACAGAACACAGAAACATGCAACAAAAATTAACAACTCCCATTAATTGTACGCCTACTACTACCAAGACTCACTGGTAGATATTTAAACACACAGTTAATTTTTTAAAAATATTTTAATTTTTTAAAAATATTTTAATTTTTTAAAACTGATAAAATCAAGTATTCGAAGAAATTTTTAATATGTAAATATTGCTTTTTAACACCTTTCACGTCATAATTTTTTTAAATTAATATTGACATCTTTTTCTTCTGGGGGTTGTGCTGTGTAGTGTAGTAAAAATTACCCTGTTAATGAAGGCAGCAAGCACATCTGAAAACTCGATCAATTCCTACAAGACTACTCGACGTATTATCCCTGAAGTCACATTCATATTCACTGCCGTGAGACCCTGAAATCTCGTCTATATTTTGTAGACGACGAACTTAAGGTCCTTGTACCTCGGGCCTTGTACCATGTGAGTGTGTGCGTAAATATAGGCCGAATAAAATTATATCATTGTCAGAACTAAAGTTGAATTATAAATGTAACTTACTTTCCAAAAATTAAATTAGCAGAAAACTCGGTGACGTATGTGACTGTGAAAGGAGAAATAATTCCAGCGACCATGAGAGCCCCAATCAACGACATACTCCATCTCCGAGGCCACTTCCACAGAGGATACAGAATCATTGGTGACAGGAAGAATAGTTGCATGTCCACGCTTAGGTACCAGCTCTGTTGCACGCACTGTAAATAAACGCGAAACGCGTGTCACATTCAGTCTGTGGTCTGCCTTCTTCCTTCTGGAACTGTACCAACCTTTCTCAAGAACTTCCCGCCTCAATATTCTTCCCTGAAGCTGGATACAGCAGGTTCCTCTTAAACTTTGGTAACGTAACGTACGAATATCATAATCTAAATCTTCACTTTTATGAGAATTTCAAAAGTTTTTAACACGTCTGACATCGGCCAAAATACATTAAAATTTTCATCATCTATAAGAAGAAATTCTTGTGAAATTCCTAAAAGGCAGGAAAGTCCGAATTGATGAGATTTTAGGTTCTTACGGCGACAATTATGAAATTATTTAAGCACTCCTTGTCTCTGTCATCCTAATTATATGTGCAGCCCTTCCTAGACTCCTACCTGAAAGAATGGCTGGCCTCAACAGATGACAAATTTACGTATTATCCTTGCTAGATGAGCATATGTCCCATACTCTATACACAAAACCACGTTTAACCATTTAAAATTCAATGGTAACTATATATACCACTTGATTTAACTTTCAGTAACTCTGCACTTTTACCACATAGTGTATTTATGACTTTTGTATGATTCTTAGAGAAAACAGCTTTTATTTCCGTAATAATATTTAACCAATATTTGATTTTTTTTTATTTGTAATGGTGATGTTGTGTGTTTTCTTTGCGGTACGGGCTGAATTATTAAATAATATTTAGACGAGCAAAAGAAAATAGACTTTTTGGTCTTTACTCTAGAATGCTAATCCAGTAGAATAAGTTGTTATAAAGAAGTCTCTCACCCTTCTTTCGACTTCGACATAGTTGTTGATGTACAAAATATTCGTCCACCAATATTTCTGGCAGTTTTCAGCCATTTCATCCATAAGTGCTAACAGTAGAGGCCCCTTAGCCACGTATCTGTATAACGTTGCGTTGAACAGAATGACGATTACGTAAGGTGGAGTTAACCTGACACACAACACAAAGTTCATTACGACAAGAACATAACATTTTTCCTTCCATTATCAGGGTGATGAAGTGACTCATCGCCCTGATGATGGAGGCAGTAAGCACCTCAGAAACGCCGGTAGAATTCTACCAGACTACACGGTGCAATATCCTAAAGTACAGCCATCTTAAACATGAAAAACGTTACATCATAGATACTGACCTGATGTATCTGTGAAGATAATACTTTGGAATGTTGAAGCGAGAAGATTTATGCTTCATTTGTTTCAAAAACACGTAAGATACCAACAATCCGCTCATGACGAGAAATGTATCCGCTGAAAGACTTCCGTTAGTGACGTAGAGGCGACCTGCGTCCTGTACAAACTACAAATTAACATAAATTATTACTGTGTGGACGATGGACAAAATTGTATAATGAGTAGCTTTTAATTACTTTCCACTCATCACCAGACGTAAAGAGCTTGATAAAATTTCAAACGATGAGCTGGTTGGGCCATGTAAGAAATGCATACATAATTTTGTCGTAAAATCTGAAGGAAAGAAGATACTTGGAAGATCTAAACATAAATTGAAGTGTATTTTAAAGAAATATGGTTTAGAGTCTAAAGTCATTTTTGGCACAGGAAATTTAAAATGCTTTAGCAATAAAATTACTTCCACAAATAGAGTTGTTTTCGAGAGCTTTGGGGTGGAGGATGCATTTGTAGTTTTTCGAATAGGATTAGATATTCTTTTATCAAGTAAAGAAGTTACGATTATCAGTCTACACATTATGATGATGCATAAAAGTAAGTCCAGCTAATTCATCATAAAATATTTAAACCTGGCAAATTCTATAAAATATTCTGTCGTAACAACTCACTTCTCAGAGTCAGTTCTGTCCATATTCACTTACATCTACGATCGCCCTAAAGTTCATTGTCGGAAATGAAGTTTCCAATATATATCTGTGGCACCACACGACCCAACAACTTGTTATGAACCTCATGCCATGGAGGGCGTTGAGGGTGTCCCCAGGACTCTTCGTACTTAGCAGCTTCCTCCCATTGCTATACACCGAAAATGCTGTCAGCAGTTTCTTCTTAGTTCCTGTAATTAAATATGTCGTAATTATAGTCTAAAGATTGTTTCGATGAGATATTGTAGATGCGTCATATTGTGATTTATATAGTTTATTAAAAATATATTAAAATTAGCAGTCAATCACAATATAATAACCAGCCACGATCCAATACAGTACAGTACATCTCCGATCTCTCATAAACCTGATACGATATTACTTCTTGGTCCATATACAAAACATTGACATCAATACGAAATACGAAATACAAACATATTAGTGACCTGCGATACTACAACGAATGAAGAAACAATATAAAGGACTAGAACATCATAACAAAAAATGAAGACTAAAAATCATTAAAATTCAATAAAAAATCAGTAATTCAGTGAAAAGTTTTAATATATAACACCTGATGATGGCTATATATAGCCGAAACATGTCGTGTATGTTCCACATGTAAATCGAGTACTCGATAGGGAACGTAAAATGTTATTTTAATCTTTTAATAATATTATATTGTGATTGACTGCTAATTTTAATATATTTTTAATAAATTGTTTCGATGGTTTATTTTCTTTCCCAGTATTAAGTTGAGCTTTGTCCCTGTCTGGGGTACATTTTATGGCCCTCTACTAGAGATTTTAGGTGATATCAGATATTTTACTCTTTTATTATTTCAGTATTACAGTTGACCCCGGATTGCTAGTTGATGTTGAAATTAATTTATCCAAAATTTGATATATTTTTTTTATTTGTAAAAAAGATGGGAGGGGCATGAAAATACATGTGGGAGATAAGAAACGCGTTCTCAGATTTGATGTGTGTATCTCAAAGAAAAATAAGGTTTCTCAGAATTACGTGAATATGGGCGGATAACGATGAAATGTTTCTTACAGAAATGTTGTAGGAGGCGTTTACTGGATTCATTTGGACAGACGCCAGTTTCGTTCTCTTGTGAATATAACAAATAAGCTGAGGGTTAAATAAAAGACGGAGAATTTCTTGACCAATCGACTATAATTAACCGAGAATGACCCTGATCAATGACATTTGTTAGCTCGTTAGGATGTATCATGTCTTAATCGCTAAATATTCTACACTAGACTAGACGCAGTCATTAATTAAAGAATTGTAAATATTCTACTTTAATTTGTTTTTTTCTACTTTGGTGTAATTGATTTGACCCATACCTTCTAAATGCATTTGATCTAAATAAATAGTCTGAACAAATTCGACTAATTTACATAATATATATGATACTTCTATAAAATAATACAAGATTAGGTAAACAAATGAATAGGTCTTGTACGCTGGATGCCAGACTACAAATTAGCAAGAAGTTTTCTATTACAGACCTCGAGTTTATTTATTTATTTAGTGTTCTGTCTGACGACAGGTCCATATGAACAGGATCCTTCCATCCTTTTCTCGGACTGGGACCTGTTCATATACGTTCTTGGCAGATGATCCAGAAGTGGTTTGCCATTGCCTTCTTCTGGGTGTGAATGGAGTAATTGTTGGGATGCCACGAAGGAAACCTCCGTGTTGCCTAGACCACGGCCTCGCCCAACACAAGTTATAAATTCGGGCAAAATAACTAAAAAATTCTTCGCCATTTGACATTGATTCAAGAATAACAGGATCCATTAGCCTTAAAGTGTTTTTATTTTTATTTAATTAAACACGATAATGATCTTATTCGTAAGAAGTAAGTTAAACCGAATGTTCTCCCTGTAGGATACGAAAGATCTACTTCATGATAGACCTCGAGTAAAGAGTAAATTTGGAAGTCCAAAAATGAGATGGTTTAACGGTTATGTAATCTCGGAGCAGGACTAATGACCTTAAGCCTTGTAAGGAAGAGGAAGAAGATATGTAACAAAATGAATAATAGACAGTAATCCTAAAATTGCATGATTTTAATTAATTACGAGACATATAAAAACGGAGATTAAAACTGACCTTTCACAGTAAGGTCATACACAGTACTTGTGACGACCAGGAGAATGATGAAAGCGAAAATAGTTCTGCAACAGAAAGTCAGTACCAGGTTATAAGAACTTCTTCCTACCGCTAAGACGTTTGATGTATGAAGTTTGATGTGAGAATCTACAGTTCAAATGTCGCATGGTGTTGACGGGATAAACATGAAGAACCGAAAGAAATAGATATAACTTTTCCAAAGTTCTACTGGGGCAGAAACATAAACATCCGCAGAATATGCGGAAATATGTCTTATCAGTCTTGGCAAGGACTGCCATTGGTAATAACTGTTGACGTTTTATTTCAGAAAATGTTTCGTAGATGTAAACTAACAGAAAATTTGTATCGTGTTAATAAGTCTTTTGAAGAAATACTAAAATGGAAGTACTTCGGAAATACGAGGCGCGTCCACAAAGTAAGTTTCCCACTCGTCCCACAGCTAGCAAACCTTATATTGCTCGAAGCGACTGTGCGTACGTGATAGAGCAATGACGTAGCATGGCTCATGCACTAACGGCACTTCCCGCGTTCTCACAGTAGCATCGTTGCAGCTGTTGAAGATGGAGGTTCTTATTCCAGCTCCCGCCGACTGTGAAGTGCGGTCAGTGATAACGCTAGGCCGCACACGGCTCGACGGACAGCAAGTCTCCTGCAGGAGTTCAGCTGGGAGGTGTTTAATCATCCACCCTACAGCCCGGACCTCGCTCCCAGTGATTTCCATCTTTTCCTACACCTCAAGAAATTCCTGTCCGGTCAGCGTCAGCGTTTTGAGAATGACAGAGAGGCGGAGATGGTTGTCACACAGTGGTTCCAATCCCAGGCGGCAGACTTCTACGACACAGGTATTCAAAAGTTGGTCCCACGGTATGACCAATGTCTCAATTCCGGTGGCGAATATGTTGAAAAATAGCTGGACACTTGCTGTATCTGTTGCAATAAATATTTCCATGAAATTGTGTTTTGTTTCTGTAAACGGCCCCAGGGAAACTTACTTTGTGGACGAGCCTCGTAGATATGCTTGTTAAAGCTTAATTAAATTTTTAATTACAATTAAAAATTTGTAACACTATTAATTTGTAGGTATCGATGTAAGTCAGTCCGAATTAGTTCAATCGGTCACCTACCAACTGCTATGATTTTTAGTATGGGCTGTACACATATGATAAAATAACATGATCGTGATTAAATCATGATAAAGGAAGTGGATGGAAACTTACACGGTCACCCAGTCTTCAGCACCCAGTTTTTTGCCCTCATTAGTTTGGCAATAAATCTCATCAACTGTTGCCTCTACAGGGAGATTCGCACTTTTCAGGTAAGAATTAAATATGTCTTCCAACTCCTTGGCACTGCATGAGGATGGAATACAGTACGATAAAGACAGAACCGTATCAGGGGCAGTAAACACGATCTGTAAATTAAGAATTAGTTTTTACTTTTCAATGGAATGTCGGATTAGTTTCGATGTTTATTAAAATTTAGTGATCAAAATCTGTCCCACCTGTTTTATAATCTGTAAGTCTGAATTTTTTATGTTTCGTATGACTTTCAATGTAAACAGAGATTATTTTCTAAACTAACATTAACCACTCGATCTTTGTAACCTTGAAGTGTAGTGTTTTCTTTGCGGTAAGGCCTGAGTGTTTAAATATTATTTAGACGATCTTCGGCTTTCAAGTGTTAAGTGATTCTAATAAGGTTAATTTGCTTTTAAATGTAATAAGAATATTTCACTAAATTTCATTGACATCGGTCTTATTCAAAAGGGACACTCACCGTTCTGTCGCTGCCTGTCACATCACGAAAATTTCTTCTAAAACCTCCAATATCTGGTGGTTTCTGTGTCCGAAGTGAAGCTGTTCGTCCCTGAAACCTGACGAAACAGTACTGGCCGTTGAAAGGACCATGCTCTGTCTGCACATTTACCACTTCGATGCACTCGTCGAAATTCCCGAAAAATACCGTCTGCCCCGTCAACACACCTTCTGGGAACTTTGTCGACGAGTCAAACACTGCACGAAGAAACTAACTTAATTAATAATACAGGTGCATACATAAAAAAAACTAAACTACCTTCACTCCGAGACCGTCCAGGGTCAAAGATGATAATCTTTACTTGGAACCAAGGATATGATAACATGCTGGTTGGTCAGGGTTATCGCACGTCTCGTGGGAAGGTGATGGATGAGTATTAAACAATATTCGTCTATATCACACACGACCCACGTACCACAAGACTCTCCCTGACATTATTTAATGTTTTTTTCCTTTCAAACGAACGTGTTTTATTCAGATATGTAACATTCCTTGTATGTGGTAATAACCTATAGCCTAGCACACGAATTCCCTATTTTATAAAAAAAAATTCTATTTTATTGTGACCTGAGATGATATAGATCTATAAATGACATGGATTGGATTGTTTTAAAGATTGACTGATTCCTGGATCATTTAGTTAAACACTTTTGAATTAAGATGTTATAAACGGTAGAACACGATGGGAAGGCAATAATGAATGTTGTATGGATCGGGAAGGAAGCAATCGTCTGGGGAAACTAAGGAAGACTACGAGAAACTTCGGTCCAGACAACAGATAATCACATTCACATTCGAATTGGGAATCTTCTATATAAAAGTAATTATTTTTTAGTAAATCTTTGCTGACAAAGTCTTTTGCCTTACTTTATATCTGAATGGATAATTTTATTTATTTAAAATTATGATTATTTTACTACGAACTTAAAATTAATTGAGTCTTATTTCGCATTTCAGATTACATAAGAAGAGCGTACAGGACTTCCGGTTATACTCTACCACGTATGTCGTTGATACCACATTCAAATGTCTCAATACAGAGACACTAAAAATTAATATACAAACAATAGAAGTACTCACTCTGCATAGCCCAGTAGCTACTATTAATATGGTCCAGGTAGGTTTGAAAATGGTTTGAGCACAATGTATTGTTGTCAGTCGCGAACAACGAAGGCCTTCTATTTTGAAAATATATGGTGTTTAAATACGATAAAACTTCTTTCCATTGTTTGTTATTTATAAACTCTGGCTGGACACAAGTTCCCAGAAGAATTATAAATATTAATACGTATGGTAAGCACTTCAGCTGCATGTCCACAGCTTGATTCTCTACACGACACACAACTGAAACAGCTTACGTTTGAAACTAAAGTTTTTATGTATTATAATAATTTTAGCAACGTCTTATCGACTATATTCATTAGTATCAGGGCATGTATTCATCAAATCTCACTTAATGATTTAAATTTAAGTATGTAAATGGAGCATTTCGTGAGATTAATTTACTTTTTATTAAACTATCATAATGGAGAAACAAACAAATGCCAACGTTATCTAATCAATTTTTCTCAGGTTATCAGGACGTTATCTGTGTAGAATTATATAGTCTAATCTCTAATGGAATTAGACTTAAGAATATGAAAACATTTCGAATAAAAATTTTCTTGGATATTATCCATCGTCTAGTAAATATAAAACGTAAAACGACGTTTCGGAGATGGGGATTAGCTCTATCTAGTGGGCCCAACTGTGTAGGAACCTGAAGACGGAGATAGAGTCCCATCTCCGAAACCTCGTTTTACGTTTTATATTTACTAGACGATGGATAATATCCAAGAAAATTTTTATTCAATTGACTCTTCACCATCGTCAAGAAGTTTTAGAATTGAAAACATTTCGTTGCACATTATATTAAAATGAACTTTTGTATAAGGGACGACAGATTCATTTAGAGTTTCGTTTTGATTCTGTTCAAGAACTGAAATTACAGTTGTTTTTGAACTAACAGTTTGTATGAAGTGCAAACAGGACAAAAGAACATGAATGTCTTGTGGAATATTGAGTCGTGTAGTCTCGTAGGAACTGACCGACGTTTGAGAGATGCTTACTGCCATCATCAGGATGTTACTGTTATAATACGCCCAGTAGTAGAATGATTCATAAATAATCGCGTTTGCCACATATATTATTTACAATCTTCTGATAATACGATGTGGCTGTCAAACTATATATTTATAGTTACCGAACAGATAATCAATCAAACGTTTTATCTCTCGTTAACATCCACGCTTCGAAACTAAGTTTTATCTAATTAACACAACAAGGTGATATTCTCATTTATGTACTATTATGATATATCTTGGAATAACTAGGCCCAGATTATATGATAATATTAAACACGATCTCCAAAAATATAATTTTTGCTTAGAATCTTTCATGTGCAAAACCACATCCAATACAAAGATTCCGTTAATAATTCAGTTATTGAATGTCAAAATACCTACCACTGTGCCTTAATAGTTAACAATCGCGCAAGAGAAATAAATTGAGGTGGAATTTTTTATCATATATAATTTTTTTAAATTATTTTTATTGATTGTTTTGATTTCAATATTAAACAGCTGTTAATAACGTGACTTTTTAAGCAATTACTCTATCAGAATGAAGTTACGTTGTATTTTTAAAGTATCATGAGGAGACAGACAACCAGATTATAAATCCATAAAGAATATAAAAGATAAATAATGCGTTAGTTAAAAAAATTCAATTATACAAATTTATTATTCCTATGGTGAATATAAAAGATCATTTCTGGCTCTAAAAGTGCAAAAATATATTCCTATTCTAGTAATTTTATAAATGTTGCTTCAGCAGCAGACAGACTTTTGTTTCTTTCGAAAATTTGCAGTTCCCGCTCATAGCTTATCTGTAGTTCACATATTTACGCTTGGTGGAAGCACAATACTACCACCTACTTCGCGAGAACACGAGCTGCTGGTTACGAAATAAGAGCACGTAACGCCTTGAACATAATCGGGGTCATTGCCATCAAAACACGTGTTTTAACTCAGCTGGGCAAGTTGACGGCAAACGTAGAGACATCTCAGCAGGATGCAGAGGAACTACTACTACAAGCACATCAATTATTTATCTATTATTCAAAAGAGATGTCGCAAGAAGTCGTCAGTGGTTGACAAACCACGTGATC